AAAAACATGCTACAATGCGAAAAGTATTAAGTAATGCTGAACGCCAAACACGATTTCGTGCTAAAAAAGGAGCATTAAGTAATAGATCAACTCAAAGTAGCTTTCATCAACCACGAACTAGTGCTGAACGTCAAAGATTATACGAAGCAAATAAGAAATTACGACAAAAAAATACAGAAACTCAAGAAGAAGAGTTTACAACATCTCGTTAAAGAATCTTAAATGTTGCAAGTAAAAAAGATATTTTACATTCAAAAGGAAATTAAATGAAATTTTACCTATTCCTGATCCATTTATAAATTATTAGACTAGAACAACAATATTAAAATTATAAAATAAATGTATTATTGCCATCATGCGTTAAACAAGTTCAATATTTTATGGTTTCTATTAATTTATGAAGTTATCACTTCTGTCGAGCGTCCCGTGACGCACACCATTTTTTTTTACTTTGACGGTTTCGTACACTAGACCCAAGTAACACGAGCTTGTTATCACACGTTTGAAAGTATGAGATTCACCAATTGACAGCTCTTAAGGAGTCTCGGCAGTATTGTTGCAAAATTAATCCTTAAAAGCCATTCTTTCGACCCCTAGAGAAACTTTAGATTACTTAGGGGAGCGTCGCCTTAACACTTAGTCATAGTACTTACACTTTACATTAGTGTTGATCCTTTTTTGGAACTAAAAGAAGCTTTTAAGACTAATGCAGCAGTAAAAGCATTAGGTTTCTGGAGCAATTCGTTATTCTCTCAAATGGCGCTCTGATGTAGGTACCCTACGTGTACGAAAGGTGTAAGTGAAGTGTCTGTTGAAATATTGAAATAAATAAAAATCCATTTCCAGATGTAATCTATGGATGTGTTGCACTATTGACTATTGAATTAAACATTGTTTTCCTGCCTTGATTACAATTCGTCAAAACTACAGGCTTCGAGGTGTGGCACTTGCGTTATACAGAGTGATTCAAAATTGGCGTCATTCCTATTAAGGGTATATAGGGACCCACTTCGAGAGTACGAGAAAAAAGAAAGAAAATCGAATATCAACTATGTTGTTATTAAGCATTATTTTGAAAAGGCCCCACGTTTGATTGGAAGCCTATTGGACTACTTAAGCATTCCAAAAGGAAAATTTCGATCTTTTTGTCAAATTACGAAAATTTTTGATATTAAAAAAGTGCTCTTCTACAATTTTTTGATGAAAAGTCAAAGTGGCAATGATGTTTTTTGTGATTAACAGATAGTGACAGGTAGACAGCCTTTGTCAATAATGACAAGCATTCGTCAAACTGTGACTTATTTTGAAGCTCCTTTCACAAAATGTAAACCAACAGCGAATTTGCGAATATGCAAATATGCGATTAGTTATGGGAAAAATCTAAAGATGCTCGCCTTCCAGACCTGGTGGAACTGGTATTGGAGATTATTGCAGCTGAGCCTTCCAGGAGAACTTGAAGCATTGCACAACAACTGCATTTTCCCAAACACCGGATACTTAATTGTCGCGATAACTCCCCCGAGGAAGGGCCTACATTCCTACCATGTATGTAATATGCACAGGACACTGGAACACATTAAATCTCTGATCTTCCCAACACCGGTTCAAATTGAGCAGCAGTTAATTAACCGAACACGAGAATCTGCTCAAAATATGAGCCCAGGCTGAAAGTGATTGAGACACAAAGATGTTTGGAGTGAAACGGGCAGAACTTCTTGCTCTTGGGAATACTTCTTGTGTTTTAACAACAGAATTGTAGTTTATTTGATCAATAATATTGATCAATGAGACATAACCTTTAACAGGTGGTTTTGGATGACAGTTGTGACTTATTTAGGTATATCACTCAAATGCCCCAAAAAGATGGCAGCACTCGGGGGCTGTTTGGTAGCAGCACTGACTGCAAGGTGACATCGTCTCTTTTATTTTCTTTGCTTCATGTTTATCCATGGTTACCGGAGTTTTTAATAATTACACTAACAGGTATTTACGTAATGCTAATTAGGCAGATTACCTGGAAAAACACTGTTGCCATCCTTCTAATCTAGTTTTTTGCAAATATCTGAGTTGTTAATAACATTTAATTTTTTTACATTTTTTTCTGTACTCCCAAGACAACACCTCCAGAGGAATGACGCCAATTTGGAATCACCATGTATGGTCTTGTAGAGACAACTGAGAAAAAAATCGCAAATAAGCGTTTCGAAACCAGACAGCCGGCATTTCCCTTGAATTTAATTAGTTAAACCGATTCGAAAATCTAATATCCAAGTTCTCTTTAGCGCCCCAAAATATTAATAACGTCAAAAGTGTGTATTAAGTTTACGGACGTAAACGAAGTGAAATTTTAATGGAAAAAGTAAATTTTCTCGGAGGATAATTTCATTACGAAGACGAGAAACAAAGTTTATAATGTGCGCCGCGGCTCATCAATATGCTTTTTAATGTAATTTGCCCGGTTTCTTGGGCAATTAATGCTTTGCGGCATTAAATTTATTACATGAAACAATAATTTCGGATTGTATTTGAATACGGATATTAGAAGCGAACGAAGAGGGCGATGCGGCACAATACGTTAAGTACACTTTTCAAACTGCAATCTTGATGGACGGCTGAGTAACAGGAAGTTAATTAATGCAAAAGAATGATTGAACTACAGTGGAAAAACAGCCGATGTAATTGTAAACTTTTAATATGTTTTCGACAAGCTTGTTATGAAGTTGTTTCTTTTTGAGTGTCATTTTGAGCACAGCTAACGAATATCCAGTTGCTCAAGCGCAACTGGCCGGTAAAATCGTCACCGGTTAATAGCTTTCGACCATACTTCCGAAAACAGAATGGATGGTGAGTTTGAGAGTAATTAAAATAACTTAATAATGATTAAAGTTGTAAGAGTAGATAATTACTCAGTTGGTGGTTTGCGAGCGAGATGCTTCGCTGCAATTAGATGAGAATGCAAGGGGAATTTCGCTTTTAACTTATTGCTGGATAAACGGGAAAATTGAGGAATGGTGTTTCGAAACAGAATCGCCGAGTTAACCAGTTATTAAGTGGCTATTTTGCTCCACTATTTGTTCATCTTTTAGTAGGTTCATCCGACATTAAACGTGTGCTTTTCTTTCTTTTCAGTTATTCCGTGGTAGCCGGGCGCTGTCAGGACGTGCAATAAAAAGAAGCATTTCCACTGATTGGCATTTTTGGTTCGGTCTTCCCAGCATATCGATTTCAGTGATAACAGACGAAAAAAAAAACAATTTTCAGTAAACGAAACTAAAAGCAATCCCATCCAGGGCGACGATTATGCGAATTAATGTAGTAACTTTGCATTGATGGTGTGGTTTATGTAATTTTGATTTTGATTTACAATCTTCAAAAATTGCATATGTGTACATACATGTATTATGAGACAAAAGGCAACAATTGCGTGAATCAAAAAATCACTCAAAATCCATATTGACTGGCAAAGCTCCTACATTAACTTGAGTAACAGTTCTGGACAAGTTAAAAAGCGCTTTTTTCAAAAAGAAGTATTTTGATAAAAAGACGATATTTTGAGGAGTTTGTCAATTACACCAATGAAAGTGTTGCACATATGTATGCTCACTCAGTGATTTTTTTGCAACAAACGTGTGGTTGCTTGGAGAGATCGACAAAACGCGAACTCTTCAACACCAGCAATTGCGAATTTGATTTGGTATGTTGTTGTTATTTTTGTAAATATTAAAGTATTGTTAATTCTGATGAATTATTTCGTCTTTTATTTGTTTTCATTTGTACCTTAGAAGCAGTGTTTTTTTTCAGGGTTTTTTAGTCACAATAAAACTGGACTTTTTCAATTTGAGAACTTTCTGATGCAATAAAAACACTCTATGGTTGGTGTTACTCAACTACGAATTTATGCAGTTTTACTTAACWGTTTGATTAAATTTCCGAAATGGCTGGTTGATTCACTGTAATCGGTTAGATGAAAAAAAAAACCATTACCGTAAACTAATTCCTAATTCGCCATAATATCCGATAAAAAAAATTTAAACGCCCCCGGGTTCGACGAGCATAATTGATGGATCCCATAAAAGCCGATGTAAAAGCCGAATTTCCTAATTGAGAACGGGAAGAGGATCAATTTCTGCTTTATGACGGGTGTGAAGTTTGATATAGGAAAGCAATATCACGGATTACTTTCCTTGATGAGAAATGAAAATCCAAAGCACATTAAGGAAATTGGCACTGCTTTTATATTAATGTTAATTGCGCGCGTTGGATCAATTTCAATTTGATCAGCGGGGTGTGCTTGGATTAGAGTATGGGTTGGGTCGCCACCACCCTTAAATACAGGGTGATTCAAAATTGGCCTCATTCCTCTGAGGGGTGTCTTGGGAGTACAGAAAAAATTGTAAAAAAATTAAATGTTATTAGAAACTCAGATATTGGCAAAAAACTAGATCAGAAGGATGGCAACAATGTTTTTCAAGGTAATCTGCCTAATTAACATTACCGAAATACCTGTTCCTTCATAATTATTAAAAACTCCGGTAACCATGGATAAACATGAAGCAAAGAAAATAAAGGAGACAATAACATGCGTTGAGGTTAAGATAACGATGTCACCTTGCCGTCAGTGCTGCGTCAAAACAGCCCATCTGTTAATGACAAAAAACATCATTGCCGCTTTGACTTTTGATCAAAAAATTGTAGAAGAGTACTTTTTTAATACAGTTGAGTCCGCATATAACGAACTTGAAAAATGAACTAAAACTGGTTCGTTATATCCGTAGTTCGCTATAAGCGAATAATAATACAAAAACACGTGGTGTATTTTATTTCGTTATTTTTACATATAGTAGTAGAAGTTAGTAGGTATGACTAAAAAGGACACAAAAAGATAAACAAAATTTAATTTGAAATCTAGTTCATAAAGTCTGTAATTTTTGTTTGTACATTTCTGCTGCAAAAATAGATGTTTTTTATGTAGTTTTCAAGATCACAAAATTACTTGCAGATATCATTAGGAACTTGACGTGATTGTAGAAAATTCCGAGTTTCAGACACTTTTTT